AATCCCGATTGCCTGGATCCTAGGTTGACGCTCAACTGCTGAGCCACTCCCGGTCGGGCTATTCAGCTAAGTTTTAATAATGTACAAGAACTTGTGTGTTTCTTATATTTAGTAAAAATATTGCATAAAATAGAAGTAAATGGTAATGTAATCACACTTCCTGATTTAAAATTATAATACAAGGCTATAGTTATCAAAATACTATCGTACTGGCATAAAAATACAGAGGCCAGTGGAACAGAGAGCCTAGAAATAAACCCAAACATATGGTCAACTAGTTTTTGACAGAGGTGTCAAGAATACATAATCAGAACAGGATAGTGTTGGGAAAACTGGACAGCAACATGCAAAAAAAAAAACCAAAAAAAAGAAACCCTTACCATAAACCGTATACGAAAATAACTGAAAATGGATTAAAGACTTAAATATAAGACCTGAAATTGTAAAACTCCTAAAAGAAAAAATAGGGGAAAGGTTCTGTGACATTGGCCTCGGCTATAATTTTTTGGATATGACATCCAAAGCTCAGGCAACAGAAGCAAAAATAAACGTGGGACAACATCAAACTAAAAAGCTCTGCACAGGAAAAGAAAACTAAATGAAAAGACAACTTAGAGAATGGGAATAAATATTTGCAACTAATATATCTGATGAGATCAATGTCCAAAAAATGTAAGGAACTCATACACTTTAATAAAAAAACAAAACCCAATAAAAGAGCAGAGGAACTGAATAGACATTTTTCCAAAGAAGACAAAAATAACCAACAGGAATTATGGAAAGGTGTTCAACGTCACTATCAAGGAAATTCAAATCAAAATAATGAGAGAGCTGTTATCAAAAAGACGAAGTAAAAGAAGTGCTGGCAAGGATGTGGAGAAAAGAGGTCCCTTATACAATTTTGGTGGGATTGTGTATTGGTACAACCACTATGGAAAACAGTATGAAGATCCCTCAAAAAATTAAAAATAGAACTACCATATGATTCAGCAATCCTGCTTCTGGGTATACACCTAAAGGAAATGACATCAGTACCTTGAAGATACTGTGTTCCCACGTTTATTGCAGTATTATTAATAATAGGTAAGATATGGAAACAATCTATGCATTCGTCAGAATGGGTTAAAAAACAGATATATCTGTATGACTATTTAATTTAGTCTTGAAAAATAAAGAAATCCTGCCATTGTGATAACCATGGATGAACCTAGAGGATATTAAGCTAAGTGAATTAAGCCAGAAATAGGAAAAAAAAGTATGATCTCATGTGTGGAATTTAAAAGAATCAAGTACAGAGAAGTAGAGAGTAGAACAGTAGGTAGGTACTAGGGAAAGGGAAGTGGAAAAATGGGGAGATGGTAGTCAAAGACCACAAAGTTGCAGTTATTTAAAATGAGTTAAGTCCAGATACCTAATGTACAACATGACTAGTTAATATTGTACTGAATCCTGAAAATTTGCTAAGAAAATCAGGTGCTCTGGTCACAAAAATCAAGTGGCAACTATGTTATCTAAAAATACAATTTTAAAAACTTGGGCACTTGTCCTCCAGTGCATAGCAAAAAAATAAAAAAGGGTGTGTGTGCATAGATTATGTCTATATTCCTGGTGGTCAGTTCAATTCCATTGGTCTCTAAATTTATCCTATGCCAGTACCACACTTTTCATTACTATATGTTTTTAAATTGGAAAGTGTGATCTTCCAATTTTGTTCAAGATTGTTTTGGCTATTTGGGGCCCCTTGCCATTAAATATGAATTTGATAAAGCTGTTGGAATTTTGATAGGGATTGCGTTGAATCTGTAAATTGCTTTGGGTAGTATTGGCATGTTTACAATATTGTCTCCCAATCCATGAACACAGGGATTTTATCCATTTAATTAGGTCTTTAACTTCAGCAGTGTTTTGTAGTTTTCAGTGCATAAGTCACTATCGCCTCCTTGGTTAAATTTATTCCTAGGTATTCTTTTGGATGTTGTAAATGAGATTGTTTTCTTTTGGAAACTTTCATTGCTAGTGTATAGAAACACAACTGATTTTTATGTGATCTTGTACCCTGCAACTGTGTGAATCTATTGGCTCTAGATTTGTTTTGTTGGGAATTTCTATATTAGGATCATGCCATCTGCAAATAGAGATAGTTTTATGTTCTAGTTTGATGCTTTTTCTCACTTGATTTCTTTAGAACTTTCAGCACAGTGTGGAACAGCAATGGTGAAACTGGGCTTCCTTGTCTTGTGCCTGATCTTTGAGGGAAAGCTTTGTCTCTTTTACTATCAAGTACATCAACTTTTGTGGGCTTTTTCTTCTTTTTTTAAAATAAATGCCATTTGCTGGGTTGGGGAAGTCACTTCTAGTTTTCTCAGTGTTATCATGAAAGGATGTTGGATACTGTCAAATACGTTTTCTGCACCAAGATGGCCACACCCTGCTTTGTTTTATATACTACATTGATTCTTGTTATGATGAACCATCTTTACCTTCCTGGGATAAATCCCATTTGGTCATGGTATAATCCTTTTAATGTTATTGGATCCAGTTTGCTAATATTTTGTTGTGGATTTTTGCATTTTTATCCGTAAGGGATATTGGTTTGTAGTTTTCTTGTGGTGTGTTTGGCTTTGGTATCAGGGTAATGCTAGCCTCACAGAATGATTTAGGAAGTGTTCTATCTCAGTGGATATTTTTCCCAGAAATCTCCTGCCTGATCCCATAGCAAAAGGACAGGATGACATGTTTGGAGAAGCCTTTTGCTACGTGCCCTTTTCTCAACTTTTCAAAGCAGCAGCAGCAGCAAAAACAGAAGAGAGAACAAGCTTGAAGGCAAAGGAAAAATTCTCCATAAGAGGTAGCATTTTAATTGGTTCTTAAGAAATGGTTAAAAACGATTATGATGTTTTATTAACAATAATAGGCAAGGCCTTTGGGTAGCTGGAAATAAACCTAGACATTTTGGAGCAGAAGCCCAACTCTTCCTCAGACGGGAAGGCAAAGGTTCAGGATGGATGGGTATGTATAGGGTGTGGTGCTGGTGCAGGGAAAGGGCAAGGATGCTGAATACTTTCTATTCACAGAAATCTTCCAGGACTTAACCTCAGCTCTCCAACTAATTTTTTCTTAGTTGTTAGCTATTTATATCCAGAGATGTCTATTAAACTGTGTTCTCCCCTTTACTACCAACCTACCAATGAATTATGTTAAGGACATGTAACAGCAGAGTAGACATGAAAATTTTTGTATTTTTTTTTTTTTTAGATAAAAATGGTTTTGTAGATGATTTTAGTTTCACATACAGGTGTAAGAAATAATATGACAAAGTTTCACTTGATATTAACACATTGAAAACTGTATCACAATAGCATATCCAGGATACTAGCATTAATATGGTCAAGATCCAGAACGTTTCCATGACCACAAAGATCCCTCCCTTTGCCTTCTTGTAGTCACACAACTTTCCTCCTGCCCGCCACCCCCTCCAACTGCTGGCAACCACTAATGTGCTCTCCATTCCTATAATTTTGTTATTTCAAGAATGTTATATAAATGGAATCACACAGTATATAACCTTCTGGGAGTGGATTTTTCATTCAGAGTAATTTTCTGGAGGTTCACCCAAGCTGTTGTATGTAGCAATAATTTGCTCCTTTCTATTGCTAAGTAGTATTCCATGGTGTGTATAAACCACAAATTGTTTACCCACTCACCTACTGAATTATATCTGGATTGAAAATTTTTGTATTTTCATCAAATTTTTTTTATCATGCATATTTCTTAGTTTAATGTAGTCCTACTATTTTTTATTTTGTTGCTTGAGCTTTAGGTATCATATCCAAAAATCCACTGCCAAGACCCATTGTCAAGGGGCTTTTTAAGTCTTTAATCCGTTTAGTGTTAATTTTTGAGAGTGATCTAAGATAGTTTATTTTACATGTGAATATCCAAATTTCCCAGCACCATTTACTGAAGAGGCTGTCTTTTCTCCATTGAGTATTGACTCCCTTGTCAAATATTAGTTGATGGTACATGCACTGATTTCTTTCTAGGCTTTGGATTCTTTTCCATTGGTCAGTGTGTCTGTTTTTACGCTAGTACCATACTGTTGTGATTAATATAGCTTTTATTTAGAGTTAAATTGATTTTCCCCTGCTGAACAGGAGAGAGGAGAGAGGAGAGTGGGCACCCTCGTGAGGGAAAGCAAAGTCAGAAACAACCTATGTTGCCATCTTGGTGATGTCATTCATTCTCAGCATTCTTTTTGTATGCATAACATACTTTAATTTTTAAAAAATAATTAGCTGAAACTTAAAAGGGCCTTTTTTTTTTTCCTAGACAGATGTGCTATTTATATTTACTCCCATACCATTGGGTCAAAAGCAAGACACATGCCACACATGAAGTTGGTGGGGGTGTAAACTCTGCCCAGACTGAAGCCAAGCAAGGGTGGGGAGGGAGAAAGAATTGTTTACAAATATTATAACAGGGCATTTTTTATTATATAAAGGATTTCCTGAGGACTGTACCCTTTCCCCTTGATTATAACAAATATTTGCTATCAGATAAATTATATCCAGTTTTAAAGAAAGACTTGAATACTGCACATTAATGCATTTGTGGCTGGTTGATTTATATTGGTAATGGTAGTTTATTTCTACTATGAATATACCTATTTTTTAAAAATTTACCTATCAGAATAAGTAACTGGCTTCAAATGAAAATTCTTTGAGCAGTGCTTCTCAAACTTTGGTATTCATCAGAATCATCTGTTAAGACTGTTAAAACATTGACTGCTGGGCTCTACCCGAGTTTCAGTAGGTCTGGGGTGGGGGGGCTCAAGCATCTGCGCTCCTAACAAGTTTCCGGGTGATGCTGCTGCTGGTCCAGATAAGTACACTTACAGTGTCAGTTTAGCCCCAACAATGCCACTTATTGTTTTGGGCTTTTCCTATTCTGTTAGTTTCTCTTGAGTTTGATGAAATGGAGCAAAACCACACACATAAAACTCTTGGTGAACAAAATTTTATTCTAAAAATAGATCTTAGTAAAAATGAAATACCCAAAACTAGTCATTATAATAAAAAGAAAAAAGAGGAATTCACTTAAATTTTTTTTTCCTGAAAAATACAAAATTATCACTAATATATTGCCAACTCTTATTTAATCTGTATGTGAATTATGTATTTTATGGATTATCCAAGGAAAATTTAAAATCATTGATTGGATTCTCCCTATTATATACATCTGGACTGCTTTTATCTTCAAGTAAATACATTCTCCAAGAATGCAAACAAAATTGAACATTTGCTTTAAGTAAACATAATTAGAAAAAAAATAGGAAATGTGCTCCAAAGCAAAATATTGGTTTGTATCCCCATTTCTCTCAAATTTTGCTCACAACCAAAAAAATGACTGTATGGAAGTACTGGTGTTTAAAAGTAACAAATTATCCACCTTAAATACAGAGAAAAGACGTAACTAAATTATTTTAAACCCAAAGCACAGGAAACTTTAAATGCATATAATGACATTTAGTACTTAAAAAGTGGTTTAATATCTTCAAAGTGCTAAAGAAAGAAGTCAAGAAAATCAGGCCTGTCTACAAAGTTCTGAGTGATGAGTACTAAAATATCAAGAAGGCAGGGGACAAAACAACTTAAAATTTAAAAGGCCCCATTACTAAAGATGAGTTAGGGCTAAGTTAGTAGTAACAGCCAGCTTACCTATCAGCCAACATCTTTTTTTCAAACTAATGTAAACACATGGGTTTCATAATGTTCCTTCCACACTGCATGTGTCACATACCCATACTTTGGATAATTTATCATCCACATTCACATCAATTAGCCATCCTGCACAGTGAGTAGAAATGACCCTTTTCTATAAAAATGTGCATATGATATTCTCCATAAAGCAAAAGCTGATCAAAAAGTTATATTTAATGGCTGTTAAATGTAGATGCATGTTTATTAGGGCATCTTAGCTCATTTTTAGACGGTTAGAAATTGGTTATGATTTACTTTGACTAATCTAAGACAGAAATACGATCTTAGTAAGACTAAATACCTCTTTTGTCAAAACTTGACCCTGAGTTTTGAGTGCTGGAATATAAACTGTAAAACTGAAAACACTCAAAAAAATATGCTGGCTAATATTGGTGTCCCTACAGTACTATGCTTTTCCTCTCCATTACATCTGAAAGTGCCTCCTCTTCAGCAAAAAGGGAGTGGTGGGAAGAATTCCCAAATAAGGAAGTTTTAAAACAGGACTTATGTAAGAATTTATTCCAAAATACACTGGTATTTTAGTACAAAAATGCAGTCTCCCCAAACTTTTAACAGTGCAGAAAAATACAGTATTTTCATCTTGTAGGTTTAGTAGCTTGAGGGAGCTCTACAATCCTTGGCTTGATAAACACAGCATTAACCTATAGTTCTCACTAGACAGAGTCCTAAATGTTATTTGGAAATCATATAAGAGACTTTTTTAAAAGTTATGTTTCTATGTATTGAAAGCAGCTCTACATTTCTTAAAAATATTCACTAAATATATAGTAGCTGACTATGAAATAAAGCAATTTCCAGTGGTGACAATATTCTCACAGTAGCAAATACTCTAACTTATTTAATACTAACAACTAAGTCTTTAAAATACTATCATGTTAAACACTGCAACTTACTGAAATTACAGGGGGAAAAAGATAATTATATCAACTGCCACCGAAAGCTTAAAAGAAGTTATTAATAAAAACACAGGCTCTCTAACAGGGTTCAGCCCTGGTACTGTTTCTGCTTTTACTTGATTTTTTTTGGAGGGGTGCATTTTGTTTCTCAACCAAGAAGTAAGCTTTAAAACACATAAAATATTGATGCTTCTGAAGAGACACAAACTAAAATTATGCTTAAGACCTGATTTACTCATAACATTTCTGTGTGGCATTAGCAAGTGGGATATATCCAGTTCTGAGTAGCACTAAGTTCTCTGTGTGAGCAATAAAGACAATCAACATCCTGAGTGCTGTGACAAGCTCATCTGTATCTGTCTTCAATTACTGGCCCTATGTGACCAACGCCACAGGAAAATGTGACAGGACTTGTCTTACTATACATTTTCTAGAAGTGAATATAACCACTGCATTACCCATACACTCCAAGTGTTCACTAAAAACCCAAAACAAACCCTTTTTACCTTTAGTAATCATGATGAACTTTTATATATTTATGTGATACATTGTACATTATATGCATGGTCTGTTTATACTATTTTCAAAAAGAGGACATTGTCTTAAATTAATCCATAGGGTTGCAACAATCTTCTTTCCTTTGGTCCTTAGATTTCCTTAAATGATGGCATCATGTTCATCACTGTAATATACCAAAAGTTAAAATTACTTTGTTTTGTATTTGTATCAAAACGAATTATCTATTCATATTTTTAAGTAAACTAAATAATTTCAAGTTTCAGCATCAAAATTAATTGTGATTTCTCTGTGTAAAGTTTTTTAAGTAAAAGTACCTGGTATGGTGCAGTAGTTGGAGCCGTCAAACCTAAACTTAATCTAGGCTTAAATCTCTGCGCTGCCTCTTAGGGCTGTGGGGCTTTTCACGAGTTGAAAAAGGAAACCACCACCATTTCTTGAGCATGTACTACGTGCCAGGTGTTATACTACAGACTTGACATCCGTAACTCATTCAATCATCGCAGTAACTCTATGCAGAGGACCCTTTCATTTACTCGACGTTTTCATGATCCCCTTTGTAGAGGAGCAGGAGCTAAGCGAGTATGTGCACCAAGCTGCCTCGTTTACATACGCAGGGGAAGGCGCCCTGCCAGTCGCAGCCAACCAGACTCAAAACTAAGTCTCTCTGCCCCAAATCCCATGTTTCAACTATTTTTCACTCACTGTCTCTCCACGCAACTCTAAGAAACATAGGAGCTAACATTTTAAACTGTTTTCATCAGTTATTACCCAATCAATGAAAACTAGAAATTCTCATTATTGCTGGACATAGACAGTCTCTGTTTCTTTAATGTGACAAACATTAAGTCCTTACCTATGGAATGCCATTTTTTTTTGTAACTGCAAAGGAACTACTGGCTTTAAAATGCATTTTTTTTTTTTTACATAGCACTAAGAAAAATACAGCCAATTAAACTAAAACACAATGCTTTGTCATCCCATAGACTGTAAAATATATCCTAATTTCAGAGGTGATAAAATGTGGAAAAATGCAAAAATTTATACTTAGATTCAACTATGATATTTTCACCATCTACTAATTCCTACATGAAAGTAAGGCCCTTTTTACAGTCAAACTCTGCTTCTGCAAGCACAGTTCCCTTTATGTAGTGGGGACTCTGACTTATTCCACAGGGCATGCAGCATTATGTGGTCATGTATATGTGAGGAAAAAATTAGCCCATAAAGCTAAATTGCATACTTTGCAGTTAAGTCAATTTAAAAAAACTACACATTTAAATTTAATTGCTTCACTATTTTATAGCCTCAACGACATGAATAAAAATTTATACTATAAAAATAAGTGGTATTTAATTTACAATAATCAAATGTGCCTTCCATTTAACTGCTTAAATTTACCCAGAAAACAGACGATAAATAATTCTAGAAACACATAGTGATTTTAAAAATTACTGCAAATTTTTAAGGCTCAATCAGTTTTCCCCAAATGTTTCTAATGTGGAAAGTCTGCGTGGGATGCATGTTTACAACTTGGAAGGAACAAATTTTGGGAAATGATCGTCTAGTCTATGGTATTTATAAACATTAACAGCAAAAGAATGAATTGGTACTTTTACATAAGACTCAGAGAAAAATTCAAAAGGACTTTGTAATGAAAGCTGGGAGACAACACCTCCAAAAATCATAAGACCTGTAAAATTATATGAAGGGTGAATATGGTTTGGTGATCGGGACTTGATAAAGCTCACCTGAAAGATCATTTTACTACAGATAAAATGATAACATACATTATACTAACAACTCATTTGATATAGTAAGTTATCAGGGAAAATGTGGCTGTCAGAAGGATTTCCTCAGTTGCTCTGCCTCTGTCATAGAAAGCAAAAACCATGTTTGCACCAAGGATGTTATTTTAATGCTACTGGCAAACACAAGACATGCCAGGTCAACAGCCACATGAAGCCTGATATGGTATTTCTTACAATTAGAGCTATAAGCAAGCAAAAAGGGTTGGCTTAATTTGGGTCTCTGGTAAAATATGTATGAAATTAATAAAATACATTTTTATAGGTATATATATCCATTTTTGTTTGTAAATAATTATAACCAGAGGCTGTACATAAACAATTTACTTTGGGCAGAGAGGATTAAAGGGAATATAACTCATAAATCTACCAACTACTCACCTCTGAGATGAACACTCCCCTACTACTATGATATTCTGTCATGATACTTAAATAAATAAAAACAAATAAAAAGTCCTGGGTAATCAAAACTCACATGGTTCTATACTGAATGCCTCTTCTTGAGTAATACACTTTGCATCCAACGTAAAGAATAGATAAGATTCCCAGCGTTAATGCAATACCACCAATAAAGCTGCCAATATCAAATTTTGATCCTTTATTGTCTTTAGAATTCACAGTTGCTGTGACTAGAAGAAAACAAAACAAAATAGGCTTTAGTGCTTTTAAAAAACATTGTAATAAACTAAAACTTCCTGAATCTCTATATAAATGAACACTGAATTGGAGACAAGGGGGACTCTAAGCATAGAAAGTTGCTCTCCAGTGTGTCTGGTGAAAAACCCCTAGTGCCTGCAACCCCAAGATCTTACCGTGTTTGACAGGGCTGGACCCCGATAGTCTACCAAAACCTCAGAGGCATCAAGACTTGGGGAATTTTTTCCTTATGAATCCTCTTAAGAACTCATGCCTTAACAAAATAGGTCTGGGTAACACAGCTATAATCTTGCAACTGGATCCAATCTGAATGTTTCTAACTGAAATTTCTCCTCCTGAATAAACTGGGAATCTAAACTATTTTGGTTTTAATAATGACAAAAACCTGAGACATTAAAGTTGATTCCAATACATACATTGTAGTAATAAAGAAAATAAACTAGATGGAGTAAAATATGTAAAAACACACAAAAGAAACCATAAAGTCTGCTATTTGTTCCAATAAATGTAATCACTAGCTTTTAAATAGAACTTCAACGTTGGGTAACTTAAAAAGAGGATCGTCTCGTCTTAAGGTTTTCGAATTAGCTGTTTCACGGCATTATATTTTTAAAAATGCAAAAAGAGTGCTGAGACTTTGATACTACATACATGGTTATATCTAGTACCATTTTAAATCTTTATGGCACAAATGAATTAAAACCAAAGTTCACCATGATTTTGGTTTGGAAATCATGTTTATTGAGCCTGCCCTGCCTAATTCCTTCCTACAATGAGGTAGAGAGTAAAAGGTATGACAAGTTTTCAAATCGTAATATAAAATCCTGTTAGGATAAATTACTTATTCACAGATGGATCTTACACAGTCCTTATTTGGTATCATTAAATTGGAAACCCATTTTTTAAAAAAGGGAGAAGTATACTAGGTGAATTGACTCTTTTCCAGATCTCTACAACTAATTTACTTAACAGGAAATCACTGCCTAAATTTATTTATTTTTGCCGAATGAAATAATGATCTAAATGTGGCATTTAAATTAACTATTTTTAGTATAGGAAAAATAGATCATTTTTAATACATACCTGTTACCGATGAAGAAACAGATGTCACAGAATTATTGTGGGTTGTGGCCATCGTGGATGTTGATGTCTGGGATGTCTTTTGTGAAACACTTGTTATTTTGGGTGTAGACTTTAAGGTGGTGGAAGTCGTGTTTACTGAGACCCCTGGTGTTGTCATTTGAGAAGTTGCTTTGGTTTTCAAGGTGGTGGCTGTCACATTTTTTGTGGCTATAGAAACTGGAGTAGGTGATGGTTTTGCTGGGGATTTCGAGGTGGTGTTTGCCACTGAGGAAACTGGAGTTGGAGATGGTTTCACAGTGCTTTTGGAAGCTACATTTTTATAGGTGGAAGACACAAGTGGGGTATTCTCTGCAAGAATATAAAAAACAAGCAAACATTAAGCCAACAGAAGTGAAGGGGAGAAAGGCAGAGAAGGAAGGAAGCCAACAACGTCAACTGCAGGTTCCAATCCTGAAGCAGACCCAGGCTGGCAGAAAGAAGAGATTCCAACTTTGAATCACTGTGGCTTCATTATTTGGGTATTATTCTGGAAAGGAGAGGCACGCTACTAAATACAACTCATTCAATAAAGTGGACATACTATGGATAATACCTCGGCTAGTGCAGGTGGAGAGTGGAGATGCCAGGAAAGGCGTATGCAACACACAGCTGCTGGTGCTCAGTGTTATGAGTTGAACTGCCCCCCCTCAAATTCTTATGTGGATATGACCTTATTTGGAGACAGGATCTTTACCAAGTACCAAGTTAAAAAGACATCATTAGAATGGTCCTTATGAATGGGGAAACGGGGGTTAGAAAACTGGTGTCCTTATAAAATGGGGAAATCTGCAGGTAGACACACACACAGGAAAACCACTATGTGAAGATGAAGGCAGACGTCACGTCACGGTGATGCCCCATAAATCAAGGAACACCAAGGATGGCCAGCAGACCTCTAGAACTAGGCAAGAGGTAGGTATGGAACAGACTCTCTCTCTCATGGCCCTCAGGGGGAAAGCAACCCTGCTGACTATCTGATCTTGGACTTCTAGCCTCCAGGGCTGTGACACAATAAATTTCTGTTGTTTAAGGCACCCAGTTTGTGGTCCTTTATTGTGGCAGCCCTAGGAAACTAATACACTCAGGCTCACAGTTTTTTCATTTCTTACAAAATGTGTCTCCCGGCAGCTGTACTCACTAGCGGCTGTGCTGAGCTGGTTCTTTTACAGATCTTTGAAACTAATCACTGTGAGATGAATTAAGCCAATCAATACTTGCCAAATCACTCCCCAAACTTACTTAATAAAACTGAAATCATCTATAGATTTCAATTAGAGACTTTCTCAATCTTAACCGCTGGTTTCAACTAACAATCACAGGAAAATGAAAGGCCTGTAACAACAGTATCGTGCACCATCCTTCCCCATAGCTGCAGTGTTCAGGAGGAAAAGCGGAGCCAGGTAAAGAATGTATGCATGGATATGAGTGACGCTTTGTCGCTGCTGTAAAAATACTCAAAACAGTCCAACTGGCTCTCCATTTTTGTTTTGTGATAAGGGAACTATTCTCTGTGCACCATTTGTCTGTGACAGAATGTGTGGGAAGTACTTCAGGCAGAGGAATTGATCTGAAAAAGCAACAGAAACATAGAAATGAACTTCATGCCAGGGTCAAGTTGAGTAGTTAGGTCTGTTGGGGCAAATGGAGGTAGCAGAGTATTAAGCAGCAGAGGAGACTTGGCCTTTCTGTCATGATGAAGAGTTTAGACACCTCTTTGGCTTTCCCTCTAGTTCCTTACACAGTCAGGAACATCTGCTAGAAATGACCAAATTCTTCTACAATTGTACCTGGCACTTTTGTAGAGCAAAATGAAAATATAAGACGCAGTTCTTGCAATTAACGAGCTAATTCCATCGCAAAGATAAAGCAAGACATCATAATTTTTAATGGTAATGATATAACTAAGAGTTCAGAAAAATGAAAAATAGGTCTTCGATAAAAAGGGAGATTCCTGGGAAGGGGTGAAAAATGGAACTGGTCTCCGACACAACATATTGTAAAGGTGTTGTTTCCTTGTCTTTCTTACTAGCCCATGAACTGCTTCGGGCAAGGGTTACATCTTTTCTGTCTCCAGAGCCTCCTGGCATAGGGTTGCAATGGAGAAGGTACTAAACAAGCCCTGGGAGGGAGGAAGGAGGAAGGGGGCTGGTTCCTGAGCAGCGAGAGCCAGGCTAACTGGAGTGTGTGGGTTAGATATGTCAACATAAAAAAGGCTACGTTTGACAGGCCCATAGCTAATATACTCAGTGGTAAGAAGCTGAAAGCTTTTCCTCTCAGATGCCCACTATCACCATTTCTATTCAACACAGCACTGTAAGTCCTTGCCATAGCACTCAGACAAGGACACAAAAGAAGATAACTGAGCTGGAAAGGATGAAGTAAAGCTCTATTTGCACAGACATGATACTACTTATAGAAAACCCTAAATGATTTCATTAAAAAAACCCTATTAGAGTAATAAATGAATCCAGTAGAGTTGAAGGATAAAAAAATCAATATACAGAATTATGTTGCTTTTCTATACACCAATAATGAATGATGAAGACAAATTAAGAAAACGATACCAGTTACAATTGCATAAAAAAGCAAAAATACTTAGGTGAAAAGACCTGTATTCTGAAAACTGTAGAACACTGAAGAAAGAAATGGAAGAGTATACAAATAAAGGAAAGGATATACCATGCTCATGGATCGGAAAGATTAATATTTTTTAAATGTTCTTACTACCTAAAGCAATATACAGATTCAATGCAATGCCTATCAAAATACCAATGGCATTCTTCTCAGAACTAGAATTAATCCTAAAGTTTATAGGAACCACAGAAGACTCTGAAGAGCCAAAGAAACCTTGAGAAAGAACAAAGTGTGAGGTATCACACGCCCTGATTTCAAACTATATTACAAAGCTACAAAAATTAAAATGGTATGGTACTGTCATAAAAACAGATATAAAGATCAATAGAATAGAACAGAATAAAAAGCCCAGAAAGAATCCCTCGCCTCTATGGTCAATTAGTCTGTGACAAAGTAGGCGAGGATATAATGGGGTAAAGACAGTGTCTTCAGTAAGTGGTGCCAGGAAAACTGGACAGACACATGCAAAAAAGTGAAACTGGATTGCTTTCTTACACCACATACAAAAATAAACTCAAAATGGATTAAAGACTTACATATAAGACCTGAAACCATAGAACTCCTAGAAGAAAACATAAGCAGTAAACTCTTTGACATCAATCGGTCTTAGCAACTTCTTTTTGAATAGGTCTTGGGCAAGGGCAACAAAAGAAAAACTAAACAAATGAGACTACATCAAACTAAAGTTTTTGCACAGTGAAGGAAACCATGAACAAAAGTCTTCCATCAACAAAAGTCTTAGAAACTGTGACGGACACTTTCTGTTTGTCCCTCCAGACCCATCCCTCCCTCGACCCACCTGCTCTCTGATCTGAGAAGGAACCCTTATGAATTGCACTGACAGGCACCCTTGCCATGTAGGCTTCTGATTTGGTTCAGCCAAAGAGAAAGCATCACTTATTAATGCTTTATATTCTTCCTTATTTTTATTAGCTTGTATAACTAATTTGACTGAAAGCACAGTGTCTTTTACTATTTGGGGCTAGATCCAACCAGGAACAAGCTCACAAAGTCCAAGCCCATGTGCACTAAATCTGTCTGTCTATACGTATTTACTTAATGAATAAACTGTATTCATTCTGAGCCAGACACTGTTCCATTTTTAAAATATCACAATTTTCATAATTAACAGGCAGATGTTATAGTCATTTGCATTTTACAGATGAAACTGAGGCATAGAGAGGTTGAGTAACTTGAGCACAAACTAGGAAGGGGGGGAGCCAAGACTTGAACTTAGGCAGTTTGACTCAGGAGTTGCTGTTCGTAATCACTATGTTAAGTCACAAAAAGTACTGCCACCACGTTGGAAAGCTTTGGTTGGTACAGTGAGAGACTGTGTCACTGCCCTACTGTTGACCTTCAACATTCTGCTAAGAATAAGCTAGTAATGGATTTTAGGTAGAAAAAATAACAACGTAAACATTCTCAGAATTACTCTAACTATTGAATAAGCCTCAGCTGGGTATGTAATAAATAGTCTTGATGTTCCATGTCCTACAAACCTACATACAGAAAACACTACCAGTTTGTCTGACCTGTGAAACACATAAAATGGTAACAACTTCTCATCCCCTGAAATATTTCATTGTTCCCAGCAGGGTTAAAATACTTTGAAATAACATTATTAGAACTATATTTGCAACCTCAAAAGTTGTGCAAGTGGTGCCGTCAGTCAGTTGCAGAAGATTTAAGGCCTAAACACAGAGAATAAGCATGTGTAATGTGCAGCTGCCACATAAGAATTTGGTCATTAACAAGCTCAAAGCACCACCACAACAAAGAGATATTCAGTCAGGAACAAAAAAAAAAAAGTCTGTTCAAATGTCAGCAAAAACAAATCTCTAGAAATGACAACTGTACAGCTTAGTATCCACTAGTAAATCATTTTAATTCATAGTGTAAAGGCACTAGAAAATAATATTTAATACTGAAATTTTTTCTTGCACAACAAAAGAAAAATGCAAACCTTGCAATTACTAAAAATACATACTTGCTTAGATGCTAGAAATGGTACCAGAGTCAAGAATGGGTTTGCACCTCACAACTTATGGATAAGAAACATGTGACTCAGAAGGTTAAGCAAATGCCCTACATCACTCACTGTCAGATAAGGTGGTGAGCAGAGCTTAACACAGGTCATCGGACTCCTCTGGGCCGGGGGATCTTTTCACTGGTTTGCTCATTGCTCCAGATGAAAACCCACCTGAATTTCAGAGCCTGTTGTATTTAATTTAGGTACTAATTTTATCATTGACTATCTTCATTGCAACTAAAATCACCTTCAATAAACAAATGTATATACTTAATACCAAAAGCTGAAGCTAAAATAAGAGCTTACTAGATTTTTTAAAAATTTAAATTTAAGAGCCTCATATAATTTTTATTAAGCAACAGTGAAGACTTACAAAAGGTACAATGGATAATACAAGCATCTGTGTTCTCGCCATCACGATTAAGAAAAAAAACTTTCCCAATTAAGAAATCCCCAAAGGTTGTTGTCAGAAGAACCACTATCCTGAAATTATTATAAATTTCTTTATATTTTTACTTCACACTATTTCTAAGCAATATAGTACTGTTTTCACATGTTCAAATTTTATATAACTAGCATCACATTATAGGTCCTTTTCTGTTCTTGCTTTTTGTACTCAACACTTACGAATTTCATTCATGTT